GTGAAAGATGAAACTGGGGAGGGCTTTGTAAACAATACTGAGGAGTTTAGACTTTTTTTCTGAAGGCAATGGGAGGGCAATGGGAATTTCCCATTGCATTTTTTGACATAGTACTTTAGTTACAGTGAGGAAAATGAATTGAAAGGAGCAAAACTGGGTTATAACTGTGGAGATGGAGAAAAGTGTTAGTTGTTTCCAAAATTCACTATTTATTCCTGCACTCATTCAATCATTTATATATGTAACAAAAACACTGACGGACTACTATGTACTCTAGGCTCCACAATAGAAAGACCTGGAGATCTGCTCCCGTAAAGATTACAGCCTAGAAAACCCTATAGGACAGTTCTACTTCGTCATATGGGATCAGAATCAACTTGACGGCAACTAATAACAACTATGTAGTAGGTACTGTGACTAAATATTTGTTAAATAAATAAATGTTGTATTGTTATAGTTATCATTTATAGAACATTTATTATGTGCCAGACACTATACTAAGTGCTTTACATTAACATTGACATTGCCTTATAACAGGTGAAAAAACTGAGAGACAGAGAGGCCAAGCATGTCAATGTCATATAGCAGAGCCAGGATTTGATCTCAGATCAGTTTTTTTCACAATGGAAATTTTATTTAATATCTTTTATAATTCTGAGAAAAAACAATAAAATATTTTGAATTAATTAAAATTTTTTTTCTAATAAGCTATGTATATGTGAAGTTGCCTTTGCCTTGTAGATGAGGAATACTTTCATATATGTCTAAATGAGCATTTAGATAAAATTTTGGGCACTCAAGTCTTGAATAAATTCTCATTCCTAAGACTTACTTACGATGTTAAGGTTTTTCAGTTTGTATTTTTTTTCCCTCATTCTGTGTTGAGATCATATTAATAAAGGAAATATTTAAAAGAATGATTCTATTTTGAAAAACGAGAGAGGGAAACACGTTCTACAGTAATATCAGAGCCTCCAGAGGAAGATATTAGGAACTTGTTTGTCTAAACACATCTTATTGGGTTCAGGATGAATTTTCAATAGATGCTTTTCAGATAAGAAAGCAGCAATTCAAACGCAATTATATAAACAAGAAGATCAGAGGGGAATTATCTTGAAGGGTATAAAATGAACCAAGAGCTTTCAGTCTGGATCATTACAGCATCAGCTCACCAGTGCAAAGTCAGGTAGGTGTCTATCCTGAGAAGTCTTTGTGAAGTGAAATGTTCTTATTCTAATTTTCCTTCATTTTCACCATGTTAGCATTTATTCTAAAATGGCAAGCGTGAAGTGATAATTTGCTTTGATATAATTTCAAGTTTTAAATTATTGTTCCAAATTGTTCCATGGTAGGTGAAGGTAAGTGAACGACATACATAAAAATAAGATAAAATTCCACTGACTTTAAGGAAAAACAATTGATCAATTCCCTAATGAATAATGATTGATGTGCATGGCTTTCTTCTCCTGTTTGTTTTTTGATTTAAATATTTTTTATCAATGGAATAATCTGTGTATTAAATCCTCTCAATTTCTGATTGTCACCTATGATGAAAATATACTTCTGGGAAAACAAAGTTCATTTTTAAGCACTTGCAGGGGTGATGGACTCGGTATCCTCAGGTCTTTTTAGCTACTTAATAGCTAAATCCCCTTGAATAGTGTCCAACACACAGCTGCCTAATAGTACATTTTGCTCTCTAAAAAACTACGGTGTTTTAGTAAAGTCCCAGGATTGTTCATAGGTTGGCCAATCGATTCTTTTCATGGGATGGTAAGGAATTTGGAGAGAAAACACTGGGGAAGGAAATCAGCACAGTAAACAGAATTTTTTTTTTTTTTTAAAAAGAATGAAGGTGGTGAAACCTAAGAGAGAAAAGGAAGAGAAAGGGGCAAAGGAAAGAACATATCTTGGAATAAGGAAAAACATTGAAAGTGGGGACCTATATGGGCATGCCACCGACATCTCTTATTATTTAGGGTCTGAAATCATGTCTTCTGTGTTCAGGTGCTCAATAAATCATGCATGATGATTTTAAAAGGGGTAGTTAATGTGCAGAGATGAGAACCCAGGAGACAATAAAGGATAAATTGTGGCATATTGGAAGGTATTAACATTAATTTATATAGTGTTACATAGTTATATAGTCTTTCTTCTATAGAATTCCAAGTGCTTCACATGTATTTTTTTCATCTTTTTATGATTTTAGGAAGGGACATATGGGAAAATGAAGGCACAGGATATTAAATTTCTCAGTTACATATAACTGCAGTTAAACCTGGAAACAGAACTCTAGATCACTAACTCTTAGACCCAGGATATGAAACTAACTTACCACATAGAATCACAGACTATTTGTGCTGAAAAGACCTTTCTGCTCGTCTTCTGGGCTCTAAGCCTGTCTTTTCTAGGTGAGGAAATTGTGGACCTGAAAGATTCTGCGGATGAAGTTTTACTATTTTCAATAAAGAAGAAAAAGCAAAAAGAATACTTTTTACTTCCTTTACATCCACAAAGTTATATAGCTACTGTGGCTGATAATTCAGCATTTGTTAATTTTTACCTTTGTTAGTTTACACTCTTGCATTTATAAGAGGAACTTTGAAAAAATAGAGAGCATCCATAGTGAATATGGAACAATAGGTACAAGTTCCAAAACAACTCTTTATCCTATAACTTTTTGCAGATGGGGAAACTAAAACCCAGACAGATTAAATATTTTAGTCAATTTCTCATCGATCCATGGGAGATCTTAAAATAAAATACTGTTTCTTAATTCACAGACCAATATTCTCACCACTAGATCACTGTGCATCTATTTTATATAGAATCATAGAGCTAGAAGTTAAAATTGAGATATGTGAAATTCATTACTTCCGATGGTGAAAACCCAGTAGTAGGCTGGTTATATGGGCAAGAACCATATGACTACAGTGGGTGAGTGTTTTACATCGTTTCTGAGGTGATGTTTTTAAGACTCTGCAGAGGATCCTCTAAGCACGTAACACTAAAATAATGGAACCAACTCTTTGTCAGAGCGGAGGCTCACATTTGTGAAGCACTTGAGAAAACAAGATTACACGAGCAAGAAAATTTTGTGTTTTCTCACCCTAATTCAAACAACAAAAAACTGCCAAGGAATGCTTGAATATGCAAAACTGGATTTAGAAGAGTTCACCAGAAACTCCTTCTTACTTTACCCTTAATATTGGAAAGTCTTCTTAAAGTGGGCTAGTTCACTTCCTTGTCTATACAGAAGTAAGTGAAGGAAACATAGGGAATCTTTGGTAATTGTGGATCTGGGAGCCATAATTTGGACTCTTTCAGAGCATTTAGTGCACTCTATGGTGGCACAGTGGTTAAGTGCTTCACTGCTAACCAAAAGGTTGGCAGTTTGCATCTACCAGCCGCTCTGCAGGAGAAAAATGTGGCGATCGGCTTCAGTAAAGATTTGCAGCCTTGGAAACCCTATGGGTGAGTTCTACTCTGTCCTACAGAGTTGCTGAAAGTCAGAATCAACTCAGTGGCAATGGGTTTGTTTTTTGGGTGCTCATATTTATCTTTTCCAATAGACTGTCAGTCCTTGAGGACAAGAAATATATCTTCTCCATTTTGTGTCTTTCAGTGCTGGGCTAAAATGCTCAATATATGTTTATTCAGTGAAACTGCAATTCTCATCCTAGGAGTAGGGGACTAGCTGAAATGATCACTAGTCACTGGAAGTTGACCTTAAAATAAATCCCTGGCAACCTGTTTTAATGTGGTTTTCACTTGTCTTATAAGTTGAATGAAGACAAAATTCTGGTTAAATTAGTTTGTATCTATGAGGTTCCAGTGAATGGAAGTTTTAATGTATTAGCTTCAAAATGCTATTGGGATATGGCTGACAGGTTTGAGAAAATCTTCACACGTTTTTGATGATTGAATAAAAATGTTTAGTGAATTATAATTCATTTAATAGGACAAACAAAAAAATTTGTGTTGCTAGATGAGAATACTATGCCATTAAGACCTGTATTTTCTATTCTGGCATTGATACTTGAGATGGAAAAAAAAAATCCAAATACACCTAGCTAGCTCTATAATATTTGTAAGACAAAAATCTTTTTAATCTTTGAGATGATCAACTTACATTCAGAAGTATGAAATTTGATTACCCTCTCTCAGTAGCAGAACTAAAATAATTATATGTTATAATATTATTCAGCTTGTTATGATGGTCTCCATCAGACAGACTCTTTTGAGATACATGTTCTGCTTTTCCTAAGACATAGTGGACCCTATCTTGTCTTTCATGTAGCCAAAACTTAATTAACTTGCTAACCTATAATGGATCTGTCATCCATGGTTGTATTACTCTCATTGCATTCATTTATATTTTTTGTCTCTGTAATCTTTTTGAGATATGTCTCCAGTGCAAAGTGATCTTTTATTATCCCAATTTTCCCTCTTTCAATCTTAAAGGAATATCCTAAGGCTTCAGAGGGGTTTTAGATTTCTGGGATGGCCCCTTAACATCACTGGCAATTTTAATGGATCTTTTCTGTGCTTTCTCCAGCTTTATGGTGTCTTCCTGAAACTCAATGGACAGAATTATATGCAAGATTCCTGGGGAATGCATTGGGATGGCACTAAAGTTTGGTTATGCTTCTTTGTCCTTTTAGATTATGGCCAGTTTGTTGGCCTTTTAGACTGTTGAGCCTAAAATTTCAGGAGACTACACTTCTTAGAAAGCCCTTCCTGAAGTATAACTGTTAATTCACTTCTTATAATCATACAGGCAGGTATTTGGATTGGTTTTCCATTGAATTATTATTTTATACATAATTAACCTATGCACCTCCTCTACTTTTCTATTGTGGCGTTTCAGGCTTGCCATTTCATTGCTCAGTAGAGCTTAGTGGCACTTGAAAAAAGGACTTACACTGTGTGAGTTTCTACACAATAGGGTATGTGGATCGTAGCCACATCTAAATGCATAATAAGAGGTTACTCTGAGTATTACATATATAAAAGCATCTACTATAGGGCCTAGCACATAGTAGGCATTCAATAAATGGTAGCTGTTATTATTATTATTGGCCATTTTATATATTTTAACCCTTTCCATGTGTTCCTTCTGAATGTCCTAAAGGGATACATATAATAGGTTCTTTAATTTTATCTTTGATTTAGCATGACTGCTATCTTCCTGATGTCCTTACTTTTTGGCCTTGTATGTGGGCAAACGATGTCTTTTTGTGTTCCAACTGAGTATACAATGCACATCGAAAGGACAGAATGTGCTTATTGCCTAGCCATCAACACCACCATCTGTGCTGGATATTGTATGACACGGGTATGTAGTTCATCTCCCTTCTTTTAGCTATAAGTTAGATACACCTAGAGTCAGTCCATTCCTATCCAGAAAGAATATGAGAGAAATCATAACGTCATTCCTGAAATCTAATTGTTACTGGCTCCTTAAAAATCTAGAGTGTGCAGATTACAATATTATTTTAGTATTTTGTAACAGTTTCACTTCTCCATATTTATTTAAACCTTATTCTTGTTCTAATGATCATGGATAAAAGATTGTCAATTTCGTCTCTGTGGGATTCAGTGTGGATGTGTTCAGCTGGTATTGGGGAATGGGGCTAAGAATCCTTCCTCTAGTCCTTTTGTGACAGAGGACACTTGACAGCAAATAAAAGTGAATTGACTTTTATCTGATTCCATTATCTATTGTTAACTGAAGTTCCATCACATTGTATTCCCTTTTTTGTTTTTTCCTCAGGATATTAATGGCAAACTGTTTCTCCCCAAGTATGCTCTGTCCCAGGACGTTTGTGCATATGCAGACTTCATCTACAAGACTGTAGAAATACCAGGATGCCCACGCCATGTTGCTCCCTATTTCTCCTACCCTGTTGCTGTAAGCTGTAGGTGTGGCAAGTGTGATACTGACTATAGTGATTGTATACATGAAGCCATCAAGACAAACTACTGTACCAAACCTCAGAAGTCCTACATGATGGGATTTTCTGTCTGACTTCAATACAGATGTAATTTGCAATTTGGTTAAATGTGTGTATCTGGAACAAAACTAATAAAATATCAACATATTTCACAACACCTTATGTACACTTTGAGTACTATTTCATCCATACACATACCCATACATGCATTAGAGGGCTGAAGGGGCTTTAGAAGGAAAGGTTAGTGAAACAACCTTTCAAGCTCATATAAAGGATGGTTTCCTCACGAGAGGGTAGAGTGGAGGTAAAATGGAGAACAGGGGCATAAAATGTTAATGGAAGCCAACCTTGAGCAGACTCCCCTAACAGAGGGTCAGGAGGTTTGCCTTGTCATAGAAAGTGAATATGGGACCACTAAGCATTATGATGGTAATGTGATCAGAAGCTGAAGGAACATATGGCACCAGGGTACCGGAAACATCTACTTCCAAAGGCTAGAAACAGGGTTGGCATGAAGGTGGGGAATAAGGAGTATGTGAAATCTGCAATATAATACTTTATCCTAGTCATGCAAATGTGCTGGAGAAAACTCCACCAACACTCAGTAAACAGCATGTAAACTATTTAATTAAATTACTCTGGTGGGCCAACTGACCAATGAAAGTTATACCCCAAAAGGTCAATTTACAAAGCCTAGAAAAGAGGCCACGATCATTTTACATGCAGAAGTCTAAATCCTTCATAGTCCTTCAAGTAACAGGAGATACTCTCCAGCATTTAAACCAAAAGCAACTTGTGCTGTTTTGACTTTTGATGTTAGGAAAAATGATCGTGAAAGATTTTAGGGACCGGGAGGAGTGCTGAGGGATTTAAGAGTAGAGTCGTCCTGAATTCTAATCTAAACTTTCATCAATATTGAAACACTGTTTTCCAGAAAATACGCTTAGCAAGCAATTGTTTATTTCTCTTTTCCTTCCTTAGATACTCTTTCATGAGAGTTTGGTTTCAACAGACATGTGAAATGAGATAGACCTAGTGCCCTGCAGACTTGACCTCAAAAAGACTATTTATCCTGTATTTGTCCATTTCTTCCATCCACACTGCCACCAAGGGTGAATATCCCCTTGGTAAGCAGGGCCAGTTAACCAACCCCACAGCCATGTTTGCATTCAGCCATCAAACCAAAACCCATTGCCATAAAGTTCATTCTGACTCATAGTGATCCTATAGGGCAGAGCAGAACTGCCCCATAGGGTTTCCAAGGAGCAAATGGTGGATTTGAATTGCCAGCCTTCTGGTTAGCAGCCAAGTTCTTAACCACTGTACCACCAAGGCTCCAGGTATCTTGTAAATGCCCACATACTGACAGTGCTGGGGAGCAGGGAGGGTAGTGTAGATGGGTTAGTACCAAGCCTGTGCTCTGCCAATTGGGAGGGAATAATTCTACCTTTCTATACAAAAGAGTCAGGGACTGTCACTATTTTTACCTTCCTACCTGAAGTTCAAGGAGCACTGGTGGCACAGTAGTTAAGTGCCTGGCTGCTAACCCATCGGTTGGCAGTCTGAATCCATCAGCTGCTCTGCAGGAAAAAGATGTGGCAGTCCACTTCTGTAAAGATTTCAGCCTAGGAAACCCTAGGAGACAGTTCTACTCTGTCCTATAGGGTCGCTATTAATTATCATGGTCCCCAAATGTTGATCTAGGGCTTTGGATTCTCATATCACTTGATAGCATGGACACTTAAAGCTCCTCTGAAAACTGTCTATTAAATACAGATCTTTGATTAATAAGGAAAAAGTGTAAAATCCAAACTTAACTAGCACTAGTCACATATATGACCTTCATAGATTCTGAAAAACATTTTCTAAGGATCTGAATGCTGAAAAAGCTGAGACGTTTAGGTAGGCTTCATATAAACAGTCCAGCTCAGAAGGTATTATTTAAATGGGCTTCCTCAACCTGCAGGGAGGCTAGATCTGGGCATAGGTGTGGTGGATCTGGACCTTCATGGACCACGGATTTCCTCAGAGATAACTTGTTTCCTCCCACTGAAGGCAATCCATTTGCAGTAGATGCCCATATACATTATATTAAACTATTCTTGAAAGTGGAGCTGCCCAGGACAGATAATCTTTAGTATTAGATGTTCCTTGACTGAGGAGAAATTTAGGGATTGGGATGGCTGACAATTTGCCTTAACTGGATCCAGAAACTGGGGAATAGAGAAATGTTGTTTTGGAGGGCCTTGGCTTTCTTTGGGTTTAAGAGAGGGAGAATGAACAGAGAGCTTAGAAATGGGAAGGTGCAGAATCAGTGTGTGTGTAACAGGAGAAAGGTGGAAACCTTGGACCATCCTCTGAAGTGGTCTTTAAATTTTAACCTAAAGTTTAAAGGAGTCAGTTTTTGGCAGAGGAAGTTTGAAACTCAGTGCTTTAAAAAAAAGTCTTTCTTGTTCTTCATGTGACTTTGAAATATAAAGAATTCTTTCATAATTAAATGGATTTGGGATCAGTGCAGCACCAATCTCTGCTTTCCTAATGGCTAAACTCTTTAGGAGTAAGTAAGTGTACCAGGATTGATATTATCGGTAGGTAACAACATGATGCTTCTTAGTAACAGAACTTCAAGTAATGGAAGCCCTTCTTTATGTAAGAAATTGCTGCTTTTTAAGAAATGCAATAAAAATTCTTTTATTGAAGTAATTTCCACTGTAACCCTACCCTCTCATCTCTCTAGGTTAATCCCTACTTATCCTTTAAGACAACTCTGGTTTCACTTTCTTTACTTCTATTACCCTCCCTCCACCTGCTGCTTCTGCTTGTGTAGCATCCATTTTCTTTCCTCCGAAAACTGCACCTGGATTTTCCCTTGAGGGTCCTCCCTATCTCCACTGTTAGTTTAGGTGGTTTCAATGGGACTAATGGGAGTGGGCATGCCACTTAGGCTCAGTTAAGCCTGACTGGTTAAGGGATGGGCATGTGACCCAATCTCTTCCAGTGGAAGTCCAGTCCCGGGGCTCTTACTGTAACTATTGGACAAGAGGAGTGCTTGCCCTGTTGGGGTTCCTAAGCTGATAAAATATGAGCCTGGAGCCACTGCTGGCCATCTTTGGCATCTCCTGGAAACAGTCAGCCTGAGAATAAAGACCACCCAGAGGAAAGCAAGAGAAACTGAGAAGGAAAGAGAGAACTATGGATAAAATTGAGCTGAATATGAAGTCAGCTTTACCTTGGTAAAGAAGCCATAACTTTCCTTTTCTGCTCAAGCTAGTGTGGGGTTTCTGACACTTGCAACTAAAAAGTCCTGATTCAGTGTCTCTCCCACTGGTTTCAGAAGATGCTCCTGATCCCATCTCCCATCTCTTATCTCCTCCAAGACCTTATTGCTCCCTCTTGTATCTTCTCTTCCTTCCTCTTAATTGACTTATCCCCAATATAAAGCATCCTTCAATCTCTTCCCATTTTAAACCACCGCCACCACCACCACCACCACCACCACCAAACAAGCAAACAACCCTCTCTTGCCCCTGTGCAACTTTCTAGTTATTTGCCCTCTCTTTCCTTTACTTCTTTCTCCAGCCCTTCTCGAAACAACAATGACTTGCTACTAATCCAGTGCACAGGACACTTTTTAGTCCTGGTCTTCCCTGACCTCTCTGCCTAGTGGAGGTCACATATCTGGATTCAGAATGTAACACATCCGTGGCATTTATCATCAGCCAATTGACTGGCATCCTAATGAGGCTGGAATCAACATTTTCTTCTGTTTTCATGCCTTTTATTTCTACTCTTCTCCCAGATTACTCAAAATCTACGCTATGGTCTTTAGCAGGCAACAGTAATACAGAATACAGATTTGGGTTGTACTTCCTTCTGGGAATGCAATTTTGCTTGGTACTGTAGGGGTGAAACTTTGTGAAGGAAGGGCTAGTGCTGTGATAGTCTTATGTGTCCTGTTGAGCCTCTGGATACTGTTAAATGTGGAGCATATGAGAAACTCAGGGTTTGTATTAATTCAATTTTGGATGTCTTAAAGGAATTTTGCCCATTTCAGTAAAAGACAGTCCAGGTGGAAGCTTTTGAAGGAATGCAGGCAGCTAACAGAGACACTCCAGCTTGAGATTAAGAAAGGATGGGGAATACAGAGTTGTTTTGGGCTTTTAAGTTACTAAAGTAGGGGATTCTAATTTTTAAAACCTCAATTTCTCACAGGGGATTTAATCGTGAGAGGTAGTTCATGTTGTTCAAATCTGTACACTATCACTTTTGTGTTCCTAAACTATAGTTCTAGTCTGGACTTCTTTTCTAAGCTTCACTCTCGTGTAGTCAAGTGCCTGTTTATGTTTCTTTTCAGACGTCCTATAGAGACCCCCAACTAAAATTGCCATTAAAATCTCCTTATCCTCCTGTGTTTTCTTCTTTGTGGGTGGCACCATTACCTCCCAGCTGCCATGTCAGAAACCTGGGAATTATTCTAGGTTCCTGCCTTTTCTTTATCCCTGACATGCAATTAGACCCTTTCTCCTTAAGTCTGTCTACTTCTTCTTAGTAGAGTTTCCAGTACGTTAGTTAGAAATCCTCATGACTCTGACCTTCTATCTTTAGAAAGTTCAAATTTGATTTTGTAACTGTTTAAAATTCTTCCCTGTTATCTCAGGACAAAGATACTATTCCTTAGCACAGTTTAACGGGACCCTTTACCTCTTCAGCCTCAGCTCTTGACATGCCTTCCATGAATGTTTCCATGCTTTCTCTGCTTTAGGGTCTTCTTGTATGCCACTCCCCAGCGATCTCCTTTCCCTCCTCCTTCTCCATTACTTTTTACTTGGCTGATTTCTACTGGTTCTTCAGGACTCAGCTTAGAGACTCCAAAATTGAGGAACGTCTCCGCCCTGACCACTCTGGGTTAATGATCATAGCACCAAGCTCATGGTAATACACTTGCCTACTCTCCTCCAAACTGTCAGATCCTTGAGGGCAGAAACTTGTCTTGTTCATCTTAGCATACCAGTATTCTTACACATATTTTTTCAAATGCACAAAATAGTGGTTCCCAAACAAACTAAAAAGCGAATTCTAATATTAGAGTGGGTTGCATCTTACAAGGCCAAGCAGGCCCAGGGAAAACTATTATCTGGCTATGGGTCCTTGAGTAAAAGCCCTGGTGGCACAGTGGTTAAAGTGCTAGCTTGCTAACGAAAAGTTGGTGGTTTGAACTCCCAGCTACTCTGTGGAATAGAGATGTAGCAGTCTGCTTCCATGAAGATTACAGCGTTGGAAACCCTATGGGGTAGTTCTACTCTGTCCTACATGGTTGCTATGAGTCGTAATCAACTCAATGGCAGTTTTTTTTTTTTTTAATGGCTACTTGATATCAACTATTTGAATTAAAATAGGGAAATGTATAAAAAGGCATTCCTTCATTCAACAAATGAATGTGTTCAATGGCCAGATAGCTGGTGTCATGCAGAAGAACTTTAAGTTAGTCATGATTTCTAGAAAACTACGTTTGCGCTGTAATTAACAAAAATGTCTCATCAGAGCATCAATCTGATAATTACAACAATAGTTAATATTCATTAGCTACCAGGTGTGCTAAGCACTTTATACTGGTTATTTCTTTCAATTTAATTTTATTTAATATAAGAAAAAGTATCATAAAATATATAGGAGAAAAATAAATACCAAAGCTTTGTGTTTCTGGCACATCAGTTAAAAACTTTATAAAATCAGCATAGATTATGCTTTACAGCTTTCAAGACATGCTACTTCTATTCTTCATGCTCTCACGGTCCCCAGGAGAGAACTATCTGAGTATCGGGTTCCTGGAATGTATCTAACCTTTGTGGTTATAATGAGGACATGAATAAGTCTTTTCACCTCTCAAAGGACACCTACATTTAATACGTTACTAGTACATTTTATGGTAAAAAATGAAGTCATGTTGAATGTAGAAGTCTTTTATCCCTCTTAAAATATACCTTAACACAAATTTAATTTTAATGAAACAAAACTACAATGAAGTTAATCTACTAGCTTCAAGAGCCCGTGAGCACTCCCTCTCAGGGGTGGGAAAAATGGGGTTGCTGAAATTGAGGGGCTGATGGCCAAAGGGGATGTCAAGGTGGCAGTGAACCAGGTAAGTTGGTGGCCTATGGAAGCCCCAATGGCTGTATATGGGGCCATGGAAACTACGTTTTACCTATAACATGAAGGGTTCCTCTTCCTTATAATCTTTGGTAAACTCACTTTGTAAGTGTAAGCGTGCTCTCTCTCACTGCCATCTTCTCAGGAACCTCATTCTCATCAGCCAAACCTATTAGCGTTGTTCACAAGGGAAAGGAGAGCAATTATTGTTGCTGATTGCGTGGGGGTCTATGTTGGACCCTGATTCAATGTGCATTTTTACAGATTGAACCACAGATAACAAACGAGCTGTTCTGGGGAAGAGAAGTATACTTTGGGTGAAACATTATTAACTGAAATACAACCATATGCAATGAAAGTCCTTAAGGTAGGTATTGCTTTAAGGGCAGGTCTAGCTCCCGACTCATAGCGACCCTATACGACAGAGTAGAACTGCCCCATAGGGTTTCCAAGTAGTGGCTGGTGGATTTGAACTGCTGACCTTCAGTTAGCAGCCGAGCTCTTAACCACTGTGCCACCAGAGCTCTTCCAGCTCCCAATAGTAACATAAAAAAGGTACTACTCTCTTTCCATTTTCACCATAGTGTGGGTTAGTTGGTAGTTGGATGTGTAGATAAGTTGTGTGAAGGTGTGCAGAAAGATATAATAGTATTTTAAGATATATCAAACAACAATTCCAATTCTTAGAAAATTTAATTTGAAATAAAATATTTCATCATTAAGAAATTTTAATTCAGTGCCTTGGCAAGACAGGCTTAATGAAATGTTTGGGTCTGGTCTCAAATTAGCTCAAGTGAACAGAAATAACAACAACAAAAATATATATATACATGTATGTGTGTGTGTATATATCTTGAAATATATATATCTTGAAATACACATGTATCTTGAAATATATATAACTTGGACATACATACATATTTACAAAACTTGTATATATACACACACAAATATATACGTGTGTACATATATTCAAGTTTTATAAATATGTATATGCTATATATATTTCAAGATATATATATACACACACATACATACATAAGTGTTTGTATAAATTCAAGTTTAAATATGTCTATATATTTAAGTTATATATATTTCAGGATACAGACACACACACACACACACCCCTACCTCTTTCTACATATATAGAAAATATATAATCTACCCTCATTCAGTGATGCAGTTCTCTAATTTTACTCACAGCACAAATTCTGGAAAAATTACCCCTAAAAGGGGCACATTAATCATATATACGGAACAGATCTCTATTTTCCCATTTTTAACTATGGTAGTCTTCTTCAAGGTTGTTAATTCATATATGGAATGAACCCGCTTTTGTTGAATCAGAGATGAGCTAGAAAGGATCTCAGTGTGCTCTTGGGCTTGTTGCCTGTCTTCAGGCAGAGAAATGAACTAAAGCCACCAAGAGAGATAGACTAGACTGTTTTTTTGCTTTAAAATTTTCATTTCATCACTATTGGAGTACAAATATCTATTTTGTGAAGTGATTTTCTTAAAATAATCTTTCTTTAGCTATAGACACAGTAAAATAGCCATGCACAATTAAATTTTTAGCCTTCGTCTAATCTGATGGGTTTTTCTAGAAAAGCTTCCTCCAAAATAAGTAGTAGCAAGTGTGGCAGAAAGAGAAATGTGGCTCTTTACGGGACTGAGACTATTTCAAGCAGTTATATCTTTTCGGGCTTTATAAAAGCTCCTTGGTCGTGTGGCACTTTCCTTTAGTGCACACTCAGAGGCTTGTCTTCTCACACATGTACACACTCACCGGGAGTTTCCAAGTTCCCCATACTTTCAGTTCAGTGCGGCATTTTTAAATGTAATTTCAAAAAACAAAAACAAAACAAAACTCCATGATTTACTAAATGTACCAAGTTGTTAGAAGCTCTGGCGATACAATGGTTAAAAGCCTGGCTGCTAACTGAAAGGTTGGTGGTTTGAATCCACCCAGTGGCTCTGTGGGAGAAAAGACTTGGCCATCCGCTCCCGTAAAGGTTACAGCATAGGAAACCCTACGCAGCAGTTCTACTCTGTCACATCGGGTGCCTATGAATTGAAAATCAACTCAAAGGCACCTAACAACAACAACAGCAACCAAGTTGTTAAAAACAAAACCAAAAAACCAAACCCATTGCCTTTGAGTCGATTCCAACTCATAGTGACCCTATAGGACACAGTAGAACTGCCCCATATGGTTCCCAAGGAGCACTTGGTGGATTCAAACTGCTGACTTTTGGTTAGCAGCCATAGCTCTTAACCACTATGCCACCAGGGTTTAAATATGCCAATTCATATCCTAAATTTGGGTTTATTGCTGTTGTCATTAGTTGCCATTGAGTCGATTCCAACTCATGGCGACCCCATGTGTGCACAGTAGAACTGTGTTGCATAGGGTTTTCAAGGCGGCGACCTTTCAGAAGATTGCCATCCAGGTCTGTCCTCTAAGGCGTCTCTCGGTGGGCTCGAACCGCCAACTTTTCAGCTTGTAGTTGAGTGCTTAATCATTTGCACCATCCAGGAACTCCAAATATGGGTTTACATACCTAAAATCAATCATTACGGCCATAAAAGAACCTGAAAATTTTATTTTCATAGGGGATTTGTGCAGAAAAGTTATATTTATGTTATGTGTGTGTATAAGTACTTTTGTTTCCTTAGCTTTTCCCTGTTGTGTGCACACAACCAGGAGAAGATGCTTTTCTATTGTTTTTCGGTGTATTTTTTTTTTTTTTGGGTCGGGGGAGGGTGGGTTTGGCCAAGAATGCTCATGAGATAAAATTTGAATTAGGTTGGATTTTGTTTTATTCATTTTAAGTGGGGAAAACTGTAGCTCTTAATCTAGGGAAAATAATTGTCTAAGTGAATAAATAAGGAGAATACAAAAAATTAGGAAAATATGTAAACTCAAGTTATGAGGTATTTCAAAGATACAGTGCTGGTAAAGATTCTCTTTCCCACAGTTGGTAACTGCCAGGCCTCTTGCGTTAGTTAGTCTTTTTATCCTTACATCTGGAGGAACACAGACGAGTCTGAGATAAAAGCCACTTTGAGGATGTGAGGGTTGCAGAGTTCAGAGTCAGAAAAGGAAAAGCAGTAAAGCAATATTACATGTCTTTGAGAACAAAAATATTTCTATAAAAAGTTTTTAAAGTTTTTTCTTTCCCTTTTTTTTTTTTTTTTCTTAAAAACACTCACTTTTATAGGGCACATGATTGTCTATGTGACTACTCTTTCCAGAGGGAGGTTTTTTTTTTTAATCGCTAGGAGAACATGAGTTATTCACATTAGATTTTCCATGCTATATTTAGTTTTACTGGTGGGTTTAGTTCTAAGGCTGTGTTTACTATATTCTGGGGATAGAATGTATATAAAAAAAAGCCCAGGAAACCCTTACACCCAACTTAGACATTCAATTTTAACATTCCACCGTGATCTCTTAATTCCTGTAGGCTTATTGCTGCCATTCTCTAGAAATCCCTGAATTCTCTGCATTCAACTTTCTATAGCTAGAGTTTGAGAAAGTGACCATTTATCAAGTTTTCTGAATCGCCAAATTTTGAAAGTTTATCAAAGCTTTTGATTTTTTTTTCTGGGTGTTAAATAGGTTGTTCTCCTTCCATAACAAAAATCAGGAATTCCCAGTAAACAGATCTCATTATGTGTAATGCATATCCCAGAAACACACAGCACGCACATGAGTATGTTCTCAGTCAATACACAGGCATTCACTCAAGGGGCAAACCGGTAATGAGCCCTGCATACATACATGTGCAAATGTACAACTGACAACAAATTACTTTTAGGTCTTAATGTCCTTTGAATCTTAAAAATGAGCCAGAGGCAGCTCCCATGACATCTAGTATGAAAGCTTTAGATTGTAATTTTCATGTAGAATAAAGCTTGTAATTTTCATGTAGAAGTGGCTTCATATCACATCTCGTGAGTTTCGTATTGCACAGCAAAGGACCATGCTGAATATCATGCCGAAGATCTGAAACGGAAGGAACCACATATTCGTGACTTGCAAATGTGTCTAAAAACTGCCAGCGTGTCTAACTGAAGTTAACCAATAATCACTGATTATAAATGGCATCTTTATACATGCTACTTAAAAATGGTTACTGGTTAAAGATTTCCAAATTAACTGCTTAAGATGCACTACTATATTATTATTGTTAACAAATAATAAGGACTCTAAGAAAAGGGCCCTGTTTCTAGCTTAAAGAAGAGTTCTTAATAATTGTAAAGCAGGCAGATACACTACTGGTTTCATGATTTTATATTTCAGGTAAATCCCAGATCTTTTATCTCTTTTATATATTTTGAAACATATGTTGTCTAAATACCCTTGTGGTCTAAAAAGCTTTCTACTGTTACAAAAGTTTTGAATTTTTGCAACAGTGACCACATTGAAAAGTGGAGCATTTCTTCATTTCTGGTCCATTTCTTTCTTCTTTAATTATTTTTTTCCTGGTCCATGTCTAGTACAAATGCTGCTTCACTGTTTAACTCAATAGTTTTTTCCATAAACAGAGGTGTCTGAACTATGGGATTACTGAATTCTCCCTCTTGGATAGTTCTTCGAGAGGCCAAATAGTTGGGCAAAATCAATGCCACTTACATGGTTTCAACAGAAGGATGACAAAAGACCTTCTTGCCCTCCTTCATTTCCCCTACACTTCTGCAGGGCCTGTGGAACCCTATCTGTGGGTGTGCAATGTTTAAAAACTATTGTCAAGGTTCTTTGAAAAATTGGTACCGTAACTTTCTGGTTCTCTCTTCAATCCCACCCTAATTCAGACTAGGATCTGTGAATACTAAATTCAAAATAGCATGAATTATTATTATTTTTTTGGAGGGAAGGGGGCTTATGGTAAGGGAACAGTCAGGAGGGGGATTTCAAGCTTCTGGCTGACAGAACTCAGAACCAATGTGTGGCAGAGGAGACACCTAATGGACACTTGGTTAAATGATAATGCTGTGAAGCTCTTACCTTACAAAGAAAAGCATTAAAGAAGAAACTGTAGGGGTACTGATTCCAGATGGCCAAGAGAGGGCACTTCCCTTTTACCTTGGTTGCAAGGTTGGATACAACCCCCACCTCATTCTGGTTGAACTCTGAGGGAATCTCCCCGGAAACAAACCTCTTCAGCCTCAGCCTGCTACTGTCTTGAGTCAGCTGTGGCCACTTCTAGGCTGCTCATTCACTGAGATCAAGGAATTGTTAGGAAGGTCTATTTGATGCCTCCATGATATAGAACGTTTTCAAACCTTGTACCCCAGGACTGCCCCTGGGGAGCACAGAATGGCAACCAGGCTAGCACCAGAGCAGATAGGGAGGGCCTGAGAGATGCCCCTGGATTTGGAGACACTGTATTTCCACCCACGGCACCACCCCTCTGTGCTCTAAATACAGAAAAGGGGAAGGGTGCTTGTGTGTCACCTGAGAACTGCTGATTCATTGATTTCCTTGTAATTCCCATTGCCTTTGCTTTCAATTACGCTGTGAGTTAATATAGAGGGCTACAAAGTTAAGTGCATTAACTATTATCGCTTAACCCCTGGACAAGGAAAATCACCTCTTAACTGGCCTCCCTGACTCCAATGTTGCCTCCCTTCACCCTTTTCTCCATACTGTTACCCCTGGTCTCTCTAACCCTTGGTGGCTTCCCTTTGCCTTAAGGATAAAGGCCAAGCTCTCTAAAGGGGCACACATAGATCTTTACTATATAATCCTGATGACCTCTCTAGTGGCATCGTTTGCTACTCCTACCATGCCCTTCTGTCCCTATCAATTCTAGTACACTCTTCTTTTGTATTTTAGCAGCACTGAAGCACTTGCAGGTGCCTGGATGCACTATACTTCATATCTTTGCACATGCTATTCCCTTTGCCTGAATTTTGGGTTTGGAAACCCTCAAATTTTATATAGAGTTAGCATTTATTGAGTGCTATGTGATAGACACTTTAATAATACATCATTAGCACTTTATACCTATTATCTCTTTTAATTTTCATAATAATCCAATGAGGTTGGTATATTAAAATCCCTGTTTTACAGGTAATAGAATTGAGGCACAGAGAAACTTTCTCCAGGTCTCAGAGTTCACAAGTAACAGAGCCAGGAGTTGAATCCTGACAGTGTGATGCCTGACCTTGCACTATAAATCACTAAGCTATACTGCCTCTTCACATCATAGGTGAGAGAGGTTAACCTAACATCATGTTATTTAGAATTTCTAACAGTAAGAAGAAACCCAGACTTGAAAGTCACCTTATCTAGTTTAAACTTGGTAGCCTTAAAATGGGAAGCTACTGCAATGATAAACTCAAGGTCATGATTAGGTTAAGCTTGAACGTTGTATTGATGTATCTAATTGGCTTTGTTATTAGAAAAGGTCCTGTGAACAAATGTCTTTGTCCTTTATGAGAAAAAGCTCATAGGATACTGCCAAATCACACTTGAAGAGAAATAAACGAAAAAGGTTCAAGGCTTTTTAGAAGGCAAAAGAGGTAAGTTCTGGAACTTTCTCACCGTGAGACCTGCAATTCCAATACCAACAATTCCGATGAGCTGGAGCTTAACACTGATTATGGTCTCAATTTCATCAATGCAATTCTGATAAAAAAAAGAAAAAAGTCAGGAATAACAACTGATTCTATACATGAAATTACCCTGACCCATTCCTTTCCTTCTCCACAGATCATCCTGTGAAAGTTAAGCAAGGTATATATCCATGCCAGCTTCTATTAATATTTAAACCATTCCTCTCAGATAACATCATCCTGAGAACCTTAAAGCAAAAATGTAATTTGGGGAAAAAAGATATAATTCCTTCCTTTTGGTGGGATTTTCTTGTTGAGGCCAGTGGCTGCTTTAGAGCCTTGAAACCTGGCTGGAGGAAGCAATTCTGGCATCTGTAGCATTTAAAATTTGGGGGCTTCTTATTTTCAGCAAAGAACATCCAACCAACCAACCCACTGCATGGAGTCGACTCTGACTCATAGTGACCCTACACGACAGAGTAGAACTACCCCGTAGGGTTTCCAAGGAGCAGTTGGTCCATTAGAACTGCCAATCTTTTGGTTAACAGCTGTAGCTCTTAACCACTGCATCACCAGGGTTCCTCAGCAAAGAATAGTAGGTAAAATATCCCTAAATTAATAACCCATTGCTTTTGCATTATAATTTACAGTTTAAAAGTCTGTCTACATACTTGATCTAATTTATTATACAAGGTAGGTATTACCCATTAAAGAAATCAAAAAGTCTGTACAGGTTCAAATCAAACTTAGGAAAGCTAAGTCTTGGGAGCTGGAGGACCCCTCTCTTCTATGGTTGCTGAGCTGGGCTAGGTAGGTCCTTATCCTCTCATCTGTGCCCCTAAGAGACCTCTGAGGGTTGGGTTCAAAGAACTCTCCTTGATGGAGGCAAAAACTGGACAGTGATAGAAGATTACCTGTAAGCATAATTGGTTTTCCCAGATTCAAAAGCTTCTATTTGGAATCCTCTTAAGTACAGAAGTTTGCTCTCAACGCAACTGAGTCCTTCAGCTGCTCAAACCCTTTTATTTGTCCCTGGTCGGATCCTCCCTCTGATCCCCACATAAGCTACAACAAACCCTCACCACTCTCTTCATATCTCCTGTAACATTTTTCATTCATTCAATGAACATTTCTTGAGTCTCCACCTTGTCTCAATCACTGGAATAGTGGTGGGGGATATTGAGATAAATAAGACATGGTCTCTGCTCTCAGAGAACTCACAGTTTAGAGAAGGACACAGACCCACAAAAAATAATTCTAATACATTATGGTAAAAATTTGAAAATTGCTGTTCTAGACAGAGGCTTCCTTACTTTCTGGAGAAAATGAGAGTCAACCTGTAGCAATTCTTCCAACTTTCCTCTCCCTCCCCTATAAACTTAGATGCTCCCACTCATTCAGTGCCAGGCACTGTCATAGGTACTGAGAGGACGAAGTCAACAAGGCAGTGCCAATCCTTCCTTCTTTCCCTCTCATCAGTCACACAGCTGCCCCTTCTCTGTTGAAAGTTACCTCCTTTATAGGCTCTGGATCTCATGCTCTCTTGTCTCACCAGGTAGCCTTTGCTATCCTTCCTGTATGTTTGGCCTCTTCTTTTCTACTGACATTTCACTCATCACATAACACCATACTCAAGTCCTTCAATCAACAGAAACAAAACCTCTCTCCTAAGACTCTTCCCCTCAAGCTCTGTCGTATTTCTTCCTCTCCTTCACAGGCAGCCTCTTTTTGTGGAAAACAACCCAACAAAACATATACTAGTTTTGCTTAATTATAAAAGGAATAAATGCTAATTGAATACATTTGGAAAACAGATAACGTAAAAAGAAGAAAATAAAAATCATCTGTACTCCTATCACTAAAGATAATATGTAACATTTTTGGTGAATTTTCTTCCACATACAAACATACCCCCACATCTAGTTCATTCTTTATATATATACAACCGTGTGTTTTTTAACTTAACATACAACTTCAAAAATGTCTTTTTTCATTAAAAATTCCTTGATACCCTGATTTTTAATGGCTGTAAAACATTTCATCGTATGAATATACCTTTATTTCTTTAAACAATTTCCCATTGTTACACATTTAGGGCCTATCCGGTATTTTGTTCTTATGAATAACACTGCAATGAACGCGGTTGCACAAAATCTCTGTCCATATCAGATTTTTTTTTCTTTAGAATAACTCTGGGGTGTGAAATTTCTGAATCAAAGAGCATGAGCATAGTTAACCTTCCAGGCTTATACAGTCACACTGACCTCTAAAACTGCTGTCGCAATTTCT